AGTCTGGGCGACAGAGTGAGACTCCAACTCAAAAAAATAAATAAATAAAATAAAATAAAACAGCAATTATAAGTACTCCCACACTATCTAAATCTATCTGGTTCCTGAGTTTAGGGAAATAAAAACTAGGAATTTGGATAGTGAGAGGCAACAACAATCTTAACCTATTCAGCATATAGATATAGACCTATTCAGCATATAGATATAGACCTATTCAGCATATAGATTTAGACAAACCGAAAAAATCTGATACTAAATGATACCAGTATATACCTACTGTAAGTGTCCATTTTAAAAATTATTCTTAAGTTTGGCTCGGTGGCTCAGCCTGTAATCCCGCGCCTTTGGGAGGCTGAGGTGAGTGAATTACCTGAGCCCGAGGGTTTGAGACCCGCCTGGGCAGCGAGACCTCATCTCTACAATAAATCAAAAAATTATCTGGGCGTGGTAGTGCATGCCTGTAATTCCAGCTACTTGGAAGGCTGAGGCGGAAGGATCGCCGGAGCCCAGCAGGTCGAGGCTGCGGTGGCCGGGAGCGGCCACTGCACTCCAGTCTGGGCGACAGAGACTCCAACTCAAAAAAAAAAAAAAAAATTATTCTTGAGATAAATATAATATACTGTTGACCTGGGAACAACACAGGTTTGAACTACTTGGGTTCGCTTATATTTTTCTGCCTCTGCCACCCGTAAGAGAGTAAGACCACCCACCTCTTCCTCCTCCTGAGCCTACCCAACATGAAGGCAGTAAGAATAAACTTTTGTGGTAATCCAACTTCTACTTAATGAGTAGTAAGTATATTTTCTTTTCCTCATTTTTTTTTTTGAGTTGGAGTCTCACTCTGTTGCCCAGGCTGGAGTGTAGTGGCATGCTCATGGCCACTGCGGCCTCGACCTGCTGGGTTCAGGTGATCCTTCTGCCTCAGCCTTCCAAGTAGCTGGAACTACAGGCGCGCACTACCATACCCGGTTAATTTTTTGATTTTTTGTAGAGATGAGGTCTCGCTGCCCAGGCGGGTCTCGAACCCGCGGGTTCAAGCAATCCACTCACTTCAGCCTCCCAAAGGCGCGGGATTACAGGCTGAGCCACCATCCTCATGTTTTTAAATAACATTTTCTCTTCTCTAGCTTACTTTAAGAATATAGTATATAATACATATGACATACAAAATATGTGTTAATCAACTGTTTACGTTATTGGTAAGACTTCCATTCAACAGCAGGCTATTAGTAGTTAAGTCAGTTAAGTTTTGGAGGACTCAAAAGCAATGAATTGAGCAGTGGCATGCTCACGGCTAATGCAGCCTCAACCTGCCGAGCTCAGGTGATCCTTCCACCTCAGCCTTTCAAGTAGCTGAAACTACACGCATGCACCAGCATACCCTGCTAATTTTTTTATTTATTGTAGAGACAAGGTCTTGCTGTATTGCTCAGGCTGGTCTTGAACCTCTGATCTCAGGCAGTCCTCTCACCTCCGCCTCCTAAAGTGCTGGGATTACACGCATGAGCCACCGCACCTGGTTCTGGGTCTACTTTTATGTCCTTTATCCCCCCCTTTTTTTCATATAAATATATCTCTATAAGTTCATCTAAATTCCTTTTGGAACAAAACATTATAAGTGATATACATATATCAAGGTCTTAAAGAAAAATATAATTTTAATAAAGAAACTCAACTAGGAGTAGGTGTACGCCAGGGACAATGATAATTTCCATGTGATGATCTTACTCTCCTCTGGGAGCAAAATATTGCAGCCAGAAGAGACAGACAAAGCATCTAAGAGTCCAGCATCCTTCACCATCTAAGGAAGAAGAGGTAGGGTCTATAGAGTTGCCCAAGAAGGTCAAGAGTCTTCCTTCTCCTGGAACCTATGAGGAAAGAAAGAACTTGTTATATTTGACCAAAAGAAGAATTTCTAACAGTAAACGATGAAATATTCAATTAAATAATCAAGAAATAATTTTAATTTATGACATCATGGAGTACTAGCTTCCCTAAACAATCCTTCAATTCCAACTTCAAGATAACTAAAAATGCTGGGTTAAAAAAAATATTATCTAATGAGCCGGGCTTGGTGGCCAGCCTATAATTCCATGCCTTTGGGAGGCTGAGGTGAGTGAATTGCCTGAGCCTGCGGGTTTGAGACCCACCTGGGCAACGTGGTGAGACCTCATCTCTACAATAAATCAAAATGAGCCAGGCATGGTAGTGCACGCCTGTAGTTCCAGCTACTTGGAAGGCTGAGGCGGAAGCATCACTGGAGCCCAGTAGGTCGAGGCTGAGGTGGCCGGGAGCGGCCACTGCACTCCAGTCTGGGTGACAGAGTGAGACTCCAACTCA